GAAGTAGGATTGCCCAACCTTCCTTCTGAGGAGTGGCTGGCGGGTTTGAACCGCCAGCCTTCTGGTTAGCAGTCAAGTGCCTTAGGCACTATGCTACCAGAGCTCCTATTTTGCCCATAGAATCCATCAATATGGCAACTGAAGGCTTGAATTTTTCTTCATTACTTTCAGCTTGAGAAATGCTAAGTGTGTTCATCCTTTTGGTTTTCTAACTCCAGGTCCTTGCACATTTCATTGTAATACTTGACTTTGTCTTCTTGAGCTGCCCTTCAAATTTTTCCATTCAGCTCTTTTATTTCATATGTCTTCCATTCTCTTTAGCTACTCTATGTTCAAGAGCAAGTTTCAGAGTCTCTTCTGACATCCACTTTGGTCTTTGTTTCTTTCTTTCTTAATGACCTTTGGTTTCTTTATGTATGATGCCATCCCACAACTCATCTGGTCTTCAGTCATTAGTGTTCAGTACATCAAATCTGTTCTTGAGATGGTCTCTAAATTCAGGTGGGATATAATCAAGGTCATACTTTGGCTTTTGTGGACTTGTTTTAATTTTCTTCAGCTTCACCTTAAACTTGCATGTGAGCAATTGATGGTCCACAGTCAGCCCCTGGACTTGTTCTGATTGATGATACTGAGCTTGTCCATCGTCTCTTCCACAGACAGAGACAGTTTGATTCCTGTGTATTCCATCTGGCAAAGTCCACGTGTATAGTCATCATTTATGTTGTTGAAAAAAGGTATCTGTACTGAATAAGTCGTTGGTCTTGCAACATTCTATCCTGTGAGCTCCAGCATCATTTCTATCACCAAGGCCCTGTTTTCTACCTACCAGTGATTGTTCTTTGTTTCCTGCTTCCACATTCCAGGTACCAGTAATTAGCGGTGCATCCTGAGTGCATATTTGGTCAGTCTCAGGCTGCAGAATCTTTCATTTCTTTGTCTTTGGCATTAGTGGTTGGTGCCTAAATTTGAATGAGTCGTATTAACTGGTCTTACTTGTAGGTGTGTGAATATTATCCTATCCCTGACAGCGTTGTACTTCAAGATAGATCTCGAAATGTCCATTTTGACAAAGAACGTGATGCCGTTCCTTTTCAGTTTGTCATTTGTGGCATAGTAGACCATGACTGTCTGATTCAAAATGGCCAACACCAGTCCGTTTCAGCTTATGAATGCCTGGGATATCTTCTGGCATTCCATTTCATTGTTGACAGCTCCCAGTCCTCCTCGATTCATACTTGTACATTGCATGCTTCAATTATTAGTGGATGTCTGCAGCTGTTTCCTCTCATTTTGAGTCGTGCCCCATCAGCAGAGGGGTCCAGAAAGCTTTACCCCATCCCTGTCCTTGAGGAGGCCGCTCTCCCCGCTTGCAGTACCAGGCCCATCTTCCGGCACTCTGCCAGACAGTGTTCTGCTGTTTCTCATAAGGTTTTCACTGGTTTTAGAAAAAAA